ATAATGGAGGAGAAAGTGGAGATGGATTGGACACTGGCTGAGGAGACCGCTGAGTGACATCGCGCGTCAGGCCATAGCTCGAGTGGAACCCGAAATGGAAGCGGCGAGTGGGTCATGAGTGCAAGGGTGGCATGTAGGAGATCGTGTGAAGAGGAGTTGAAACAGTATGGACTAACATGGATGCAGGTGAAAGTACAGCAGAAGACAGAAGCAAGTGGATACGTGTGGTTGAAGCCCTATGTTCCACTAGGAACCCAAGGGAACAATAATAATTATAATAATAATGCAACAATCACGTGTCTAAACGGCAACATGACTGACTGACTGACCGGTTTCAATGTAAAACTTTATACAGATTGGCAGCAGTTCGAGTTGCCACACCCCAGACAGTACACAAAGCAAGAGAAAAGGGTCAAGAGAGATTCAGTAGAGAGATAATAAACAGAGATATGAAGCAAAACGAATAGTATGATAATATGATGAAAGAAAAATATAATTTTATCGGGTACTTTAAATCATAAAGAGTGAATGCATATGCGCTATTGAGATCGATTTTGAGCTAACATTGTAACAACAGAAGACAAGGGCCAGGCAACAGATCGTTTATTACGGAAATCAACACATATTTGTAGATTTTGACGTACATTATTGTAGGTTAATGTCAGTAGAAAATACAGTCTGTTGATTGGTTGTTTCTCACACAAAGTTAACCTTGCATCCCTTGTGGCTGTGTCAGTTCTGTATCCGCCTGTCCATCTTGACCTTGACCTCAATTACTGTCAACCAATTTGGCTAGCAACCATCTCTCACCACAACATGACTAATATTTGATACATAAACATTGACCTCAATTACTGTCAACCAATTGGCTAGTAGACAGCTCTCACCACAACATGACATGTCGACATGCAGATAAATAACGGATTATCCTTTTATGTTTATCCCTCATGCACACACACATCATTGGCCATGTACGCATATATATCATTGTTTCCTTTAGTAGGTAGGTATTGTGTAGCTGGTACTGAAATATACTTTGTATATATCTGTCTGTTTTCGACCTAGAACTTTGCACATGTGTGCGGAAGTTCAAGTCGCCACACTCCATGTAGCACACAAAGCAACAGAAGAAAGTAGGAGAAATGCATATTTGAGACAGTAAACACAGGTGTGAGACAAAGGAATAATAATAACGGAGAACAGAACAGTTTCATTGGAAATCATAAATCACAAGGAGTGGATGCATCTGCGCTGTCATTGAGGACGATTTTGAGCCATGTCACCAGTTGTTTCCAACCATTGGGTTTTACCGTCCCAAGGACCCCAACCAGTTAGGAAGTCTACACATTCCTACGTGGCTGGCTTAGACTAACTGTTGTAGATTTCATTGACTGTTGAGGCCATGTTTTGGTTTGACCGCCACTAGCTCTATTCCAGTCTGACCCATCCTATGTCAGCTAACATTGCCCATTGTCGAGGAAGGCGATGAATAGGCATACGTAACACATGTCCTAACCATCACAGTCAATGTAATTTTACAGCCTCGTCGATTGATTTCCTCTCCTTACCAACCAGCACTCGACCAATGCCTAACCTCAATATTCCTCACCTTATTATACCACTTCACACGGGAGATAGGACGCAGACACCTATGATCAAAGACAGCTAATCTTTTCATGTCTTCCACTCTCAATGGCCACGTCTCACAGCCAGCCGTAAAGGAGGACGGAGCGGACTGGTGAGTAGTAAACACGCCCTTTGGTCGATAGTCGGACATCACGTCTAGGCCAGAGACGGCGTAAACTGGCATATGCGAAACCTTAAATAATTCTGAAAAATAATGAAACTGGTTTTTAAATTAGATCTATTCTTCAAGGAATATAGTGGAATTTGAGATTTCCCCTGAACAGGCTCAGGATTTTCCTTGGTAATGTACTGCTTTATGTTGATTAGCTATTCTCTCTAAACAGAAAGTCATTTTACTCAGGAACTTATAGTTATCTGCACTCAGCTGCCACCCGGAAAAGGTCTATCATGTTTAAAGCTATCAAGGTTGATAATCCTGCTGTTTTCCAAGCTGAAGTAAGTGGAACGAGACTCTCGAACCCTGTACCCCCTAGCTGACAGTCAAGAGTATATGCCGATGAGCCACGTTTCCACAAAGACCTTGTAGATTACACCAAACGCACAATAATTATCACATAAGTATATAATAACACCCAACCGAAAGCTGCTACCTTGACGTGGTGGTCGGACTTGAACACCGCAATGACCCAAAAAGCTATACTGGCTAAGACTTATGTCGCTTGAGGTCCTACCATGCCAGAAAGGTTGTTTGGATAGCGGTTAGACAAAAAGCAGTTACCCAACCCAATGCTATGACTTAAAGTAAATCACAAAATATCATGCCGGATCGGTCGGGGCCTGGATTAACAACGACCGCGCTTCCTGCTGCCGTGTCACAGGGCAGAAGTGATAATTATGCTACTGAGACACACCAAATGAAAAAGAACAAACAAAAACAGGCCGTGTGTGACCGGCCTCAAGTAGTTGTCCCCTGGGCTCTACGGTTACGCAACCAACTTCCACGGTGTGTGCAGCCGGGAAGTAACAATCGCCCTCTAAATCCGAAGTCCACGCGAAACCTCTCTAATCCTCACTCATGTTTGTCTTCATCTTCATCTCTATTATCTTGCCTTCCTTCTACTGATGCAACTCCTCTACTTGATGGCTCTTCACTTCCTCTTCACTCTGTGTGCACTAAAAACGACGGAAGCCAAAAAACCACCATCGATAGTCTCCTAAAGCCACGCCACCAATTTCATATAGGAGCATTTAATGTTAGGACAGACGTTATCAGCGGTCAGATATAATTTCTCAAGTCAGTTAGACTGTAGACAGCTTGATTAAACGGAGAAAATATTACACACATCAAAGTAACGAAATGTATCCATACGAAACACGACAAACCAATGTAACCGTAGAAGACAAGAAGAGACTTGATAACGGAATGTGTATTTGGAATTCGGTATCTCTATGTAGCGAAATTATGTACACCTTATCTGAAGATCATCGTTTGTACAGATCTTCCGCGTTGTTGATTTAAGAATAAAACTTGGTAGAGTGTAATTCCATTATGGATGAATTTTGTTTTGATAAAGTCTCACAGTGTTTGTTATACAGTAATGTTTACTGATGACCACGTTTCGAGAACAATTTATTACTGCTCATCATCATATCAAGGTAATCACACGACTTCCTAAATTCATTTATACATTTCCGTTGTTTTTAACTTGATTTGATTGGTAGTAGCATTTTCCATATTTTGGGTATGAGTGATGAATCATTCCTATTGCATGTGTTGGGTGTAGATTCACTCGATGAACAAGGATTCAGTAATCAACCTCTCTCTCCACCTACCTAGATTACTTTTTAGAATTTTAATCCTCTCCCACCATGCTATTGTGTGGTTGTGTGTTAATGCATGCAATGCAATTGCTGAGCATTTTTCTAAATTACTTATCTTCTCGGGGTCAACCATTCTTACCTTAGCTCAATTCTTATGTTTTGATAATCTAACTACCCTTGACCCACTAGTCTGACCTATGTAGTTGACCTAACTCACAGTCAGTGCCGGGTATTTTGTAAATTACATTATTTTGTCTAATTGGGTCCACTGGGTCCTTTAACCTACAGAGCTTGTCCCTGAGTGAGTTTGTAGGTTTAAATGCCACCCTAATTCCTGCTTTATTTAGAATCCTACGTAGGGTCTGAGATGTCCCCTCTTTATATGGCATAACTGTAGATGACTTATATTCCCTCTTATTTATGTTATTATTACGAGTTCCACAATTCTTTTTATTTTTCTTTTGGCGTTTTTCAATCTTCCTAATGAATTTTAGAGGATAGTTATTTAAAACCAACGCCTCTTCTATCTGTTTTATTTCATCATTTAGGTCTTTTTTTGTGCTACTTAGTGCCATTGCTCGGTTTGTTAAACACTTAACTAAGCCTGCCTTAACAGTTAAAGGATGAGATGAATTAAAGTCTAAATATCTATTAGAATGCGTTGGTTTTTTATAAACGCTAGGGTGCAGTTAGTTTACCTTCTTCAATTCGTTTTATTTTGCAATCTAACATCACAGCTAATTCTCCTTGCTCATTTTCGGCTTCAAATGTGAATTTTATTCCCTCTACTAGTGAGTTTATGTGTGTCAAGAAGCTAGAGATATGTTCTGTTTTTAACACTGTGAAACTGTCATCCTTGTTCATCGAATCTACACCCAACACAACACATGCAATAGGAATGATTCATCACTCATACCTGAAATATGGAAAATATTTTTTCTTTCCTTCACTTTCCCAGTGGAACATAGGGCCTCAAGCTAGTGGCTTGAAGTTTCTGAAGCAGTGTTTAATTTTTACAGGATGCGGTTGCTAGCCTCATGCCCAACCTTTCCTCTTTACCAGCATCATTTCTGGCTTAGCGAGGTGAAGGAGTGCGTCGGCCGGGGATCGAAACCCGGACCATATGCATGGTCGGCGAGCGTCCTAGCCGCTATGCCACCGACGCACATGGAGAATATTACTACCAATCAAATCAAGTGAAAAACAACGGAACTACATAAATGAATTTAGGAAGTCGTGTGATTACCTTGATATGATGACGAGTAGTAATAAATTGTGCTCGAAACGTTGTCATCAGTAAACATTACTTTATAGCACACTGTGAGACTTTATCAAAACTTCCATGTTGTTGCTATTTCTGTCCTTCCTTCGCATATTGTGTTTCTTTGTCTACCTTTCGTGCCTCCCATGTTTTGCCGCTACGCTAGTTCATTCACTCTCTTTGACGTCAAATCTATCTCTTCACTATTTGATATTTTTACGCCGATGAACGCCTCTTTATACATACTACTGATATATTTTGTCAGTAACCTTTATTCAACTGTACAAATCAATCATATATGACGCATTAAATAAACTCTCCTCTCACCATTCTCTGTTAACAAGTAAAATTACAGACACTAAAAATACAGGTAATTCTATATATTTACAAAAATTATGCTAAATTCTAATACTTCCTTTTGTCATCTCTGATTATGCGCATGAATTGAAAAGTGAGATTATAATTAACAGGATTTTTCACGGTCAAAACGAAGAAGAATATATTCTCGTCATGGATCATAAAATTATGCCTGACATGAGTTCAGTTGAGTTGAGTTGAGCTGAGCTGAGCTGAGTTGAACTACACACCGAACTAACTGAGATCACTGACTCATCAATCATCATGTTGATCGAAATCTTTGCAGAATTTTTAAATTATTTGAATAATACGCATAAGTGAGAAATAGACCGGCTACACCTGTACCCCAGAGAATACAATCCCGCACTGGATGTGATAAAGTCGATTTGTCTACAAGAGAAGACTTATCTGAAAAGAAAAACCAAAGTAACAACAGGCAGTTATTACAAGAAAAATATTACAAATGGGAGTGTGGATAACAAAATCAAAATCTACGTTTTATTTCTATTAAGTTAAATACCAGACAACAAATAAGGTCCAGGTGTTTGTGTGTGTGTGTGTTGGTAATTCAGTCGTAGAATGGTAATCAACCACGGACTAAGCCCGGGGGGGCGGTCAATTCTCTGTAGATGGATGCACTAGTAAACCTTGCCTACTACTTCAAACCAGCGCACAGTAAGCCAGGGGGGAAAGAGAGAAGGTTTTATGTGGGGCTGATAACTCCACCCTTACTCTTTACATTTACTTCATTTCTAGGTGAACGTCATATGCATAGCCGCCGCTTATGTTCATTCAATATAATCTTCACCTGCCTACTACTTCCCCGCATCGTGCGTCGGTGGCACAGCGGTTAGGACTCTCGCCAACCATGCACATGGTCCGAGGTTCGATCCCCCGCCGACGCACACCTGATATCTATGGTCGGCCTGCTAAATTTGGGCTACCGATATCACATGCTGAAAATTTCATACTTGTACCAAAATACTATGTGGAATAAAGCTATAATAAAATATAAATAATTAAAAATATATACTAAGCCTCACAACTCGAGCAAATTTATCCTACAGAGTTGGGTTTTTTGTGTCATTTGGGGGGAGAGTATATCTTTTAAAACTAACTACAGCTTTCTCTACAGAATTTCAACGGCCTGAAATAGACTCTAAAACACAACAAACAGAGAATACTATTTGAAATTCACTTGAATTTAGTTATTATTTGACTGCCTGTTTTTATATTTAATAAAATATAAGTAATTAAACTGCTGAAAAAGCTATAGCTGTTGTGTACATAGTGAAAAGTTCAGAGAAATACTGTTTTAACTCAACAAAAACAAGCTAGGATTATTTTACACAACCGATAGTAACTACCGACCTTCACTGAACTTAACGACTTAGGAATCGACTTGTTACCAGGGAATAGTCTTATGGACTGAAAATATGCAGATGACATAGACCTGTTAGGGGGGGGATGCTGATAAAATGCAGTCTTCTGAACACCTTGAGCAGCAATCTTCGTATGTTTGGCATGCGATTCGCCCCTGTAAAATGTAAGATGCTGCTACAGGACTGGACTACGTCAACTCCTAGCTTAGTGATAGGGAGTGAAGTGATAGAACATGTCGACCACTTCACCTATTTGGGAAGTTGTATCAGCACCAACGGATTGACTGGTGACGAAATCTCAGCATGGATCCGAAAAGCTCGAGGTGCTTTCGCTAACTTACACCATCTCTGGCGTAGGCGTGTTCTGCACAGCAGTTCGCTCCATCCTTCTCTATGGCTCTGAAACATGGCCAATACGAGTTGAAGACATGAGAAGGTTGTCTGTTTTTGATCATAGATGTCTACGATCTCTTTCTCACGTTAGGTGGTATAATAGGGTAAGCAATGTTGATGTTAGGCGTAGTGTTGGCCAGAGAGGGAAAATCAATCGACGAGGCTATAAAGTTACATAGATTGAGATGGCTAGGTCACGTGCTGCGTATGCATAACCATCGCCTCCCCCAACAGACGGGCATTACTAGCTGATATAGGTAGGTGCAGGTTGGAAAAGAGTAAGTGGTGGTCAAACAAAAACATGGCCTGATCAATCCATGAAATCCTTGACAGTTGAACTGAGTCAGGTAGGGAGATGCAGGCTTCCGGGTCGGGGACCCTGGGGACTCTAAGAATCAATAGCTGGAGACAATAGGTGACATGACTCAAAATCGTTGTCAATGGCTTACGCAGATGTATTCAGTCCCTATAATCTTTCAAATTCCTTTCTACCATTACTCATTCATTCTGTTTCACTCTTATAGTTGTCAAAACTCTATTGATTCTCTTCACTCATCTTCTTGTCTACCTTTGTGTGCTATATGGAACGTGGCAACTCGAACTTCTGCACTTCGGTGGCAAGTTCTATTTTGAATCTAGACATACAGACAGACCTTCACATGGGGGTTAGATTTGTATATCACCCAAAGAGCTATACTGGCTGAAATGAATGTTCCTGAAGGTTCTGTGTCACATCAGAAAAGTCGTTCGGATAGCGCGATCAGACTAAAAGCAATGACCATCATAGTTTAAGTTGCTTACACTACATATCAGGGATCTATGTGTAAACGAAGTTGTACTGTTGAGTAATACGCATAAGCAGTAAGATGTTTCCCTCAGGTGACTAACATACGAGCTACGATAAATATCCGTTCTGATCAGTACCCGTTGACTGACTGGTGTCAACACAGAACTTTGCATACATGTGCGGCGGTTCGAGTCGCCACACCATGTAGCACACAAAGCAAGAGAAGAAAGTAAAAAGAAATGCAAAATAGAGCCAGTAAACAGAAGTATAAGGCGAAAAGAATAGTTATATGGAAGAGCAGTAGAGTTTTATTGAGTATTACAAGTCACACGGAGTGGATGCATTTGCGCCAGTCATTGAGAAGGATTTTGAGCTAGCCATGTCACCAATTGTCTCCAGCCATTGGTATTTACTGTTCCAAGGACCCCAACCAGACAGCAGTCTACACCTTCATACGTGACTGGCTCAAACTAACTGTTGTGGATTTCGTTGACTGATATCATGTTTTGGTTTGATCACCACAAGCTCTTTCCCAACCTGATCCTTTGCCAACTGACATCATCCGTCAGTCGAGGAAGGCGATGGCTATGCTAGAAATGCGTAACACATGTCCTAATCATCCATCTATCTCTCTCTCAATCGATGTAACTTGACAACCTCGTCGATCAGTCTTCCTTCCTTACCTGCCACTCGCTTCCTTACCGTGCCTCACTTCAATATTACTCACCCCACTTAACACGACAGGTAGAACGCAGACACCTATGATCACAGACAGCTGGTCGGCCTTTTCATGTCTCCCTCTTTCATCAATGGCCATGTTTCACTACCTACCATGAAGAAGAATTCAATGAACTACTACTGATGTGTAGTACACACGTCCTTCGGTCGATAGCAAGTGGGATATCACGTCGATTTAGTCAGGGGAGGGAGTAATTCGGTAAATGAGTAACAAGCCTTGTGTATCCATCCGTGGTGAGATTTCGTCAGCGATCAACCCGCTGGCGATGGCTGATGGAAGTCGCCAAATAAGTGAGTGAAGTAGTCAAAACGCCGTACCACTACACTTCCTGTCTTTGCTCTAGGAGTCGATTTTTTCGATTCTTGTAGCATCATCTTATGTTTGACGGGACCTGCTCCCAGGTAATCGAGTCTAAGCAATATACCAGTTAGTCTTAAAAAAGTTAAGTCATCTCATCAAACCAGAACAACGAATAACTAATCCAGTCAATCACAAGTTATGCATTATTATTACATATAGACACACAAAGACAAACTAACAAACACAACTTACCTTTTTTAAAGTATTTAACTTGTTTCGGAAAATATTTCACCAATATATGCTTAAAATAACGAATTAAATTAGGGCATTGCAGCAAATGTGTAATTAATTGATGTGTACTTGATTGTACATGTGCAGATGATGATGATGACGATAACGATGCTACGGATGACGGCACCTTAGTATAATCAATATCCCACCAATTCGAATCACCATGCTCAGATTCATAGAGAAGTAATGGCCAAAGAAATGCAAATACATAAGCATCTACAGCAGTTGGTCTGAAAGAAGTAAACAGAAAAGATAATACAAATATACAAAGGATTATAACTGGTTATTCTTAATGTGTTCTGGCGGCCTGCTTAAAACTTGGGCTACCAAAAATTTTCCGTCACTTATATTGCATCTGATTTCTTGGATTTACTTTGTTTTAATTATTCAATTATGTGTCCAAATCGTATTCCTTACTCTCACGATTATTTAAAATGTTTTCAACCGGATGTTTTACGAGTATATAATAACCTTAAGAAAAAGCATCATGGTGGGTGGCAAAGATCCTTAAAGTGTACTCCAATGCATCAGATGACTGTTCCTGTGATTATAAGCACAAATTGCAGGTCATTATCGAACAAGATTAATCACTTGGATGCATTATTATATTTAAATATTTATCGTAATACAGATGTAATAACGCTTCAGGAAACTTGGCTACACGATGATAATTTAATCTTACTAAATGGTTTCAATATGTACAAACAAGACCAAAGTAGTTCAAGTAGTTCCCACCAGACTGGATAATTTTCTTGATCTTGTATTTATAAATGACTCCGGAATATACGAAGCTGTAAAAGAGCTCCACTGTTTAACTCAGATCATTGTATTGTACGCGTTTTACCTAAAATTTATGGAAAGTTACACAAGAGAACTTTTTCACACCTTTCCAAGAAAATTGTACATGGATGTTACTCTATGGAGAACCTCAGAAGCATGCTCAAAGATACAAGATGGGACCAGTTTAAAGAAGACTCTCTTGATGACACAATTTCTAACATTACAAGTTGTCTCAAATTTTGTCTTGACACCTGTTGTCCCAGAGAAACACTTGTCATCAGATTTGACCGTTTCTCCTCCCCTCAACTTCGCAGACAAAAAGAAAAGTTATATAAAATGAACGATAATACTGGTTTGAAAAAAAAATTAACATCTTAATAAAGTCTGAAATGCACAGATTGAATTCAATTTACAACCAAAAGTTTATGTCCTGTAAAAATGCGTCTAATATATGGAAACTTTTCAAAGAAATTACTGTTGGTAAGCAGATGAACAGTAACATACTGAAATATAAAAAGAACTGATGATGTTAAGTGGCTGAAGTCCAATAGGAAGGATGTCATGGAACTAGATACCTGACGCATTGGTAACTCTGCAGTCACCAGCAGTCAATGTATCCATTACAGTGCTCTACCTTTATTCCCCTGCGTTCCAATGGTGCTTTCGTTTTTACAAGGTAAAGTTGCCAGCTTCATGTATTTAACCTTCCCTCTTTTCCAGGTCTTACTAGTAAATGGGCTAGTAAACTAGGCGAGGTTAAGCAGTGCATCAATCGGCCGGGAATCGAACCCGGCCGAACAACTTGTGTGACGTGGTTGGTGAGTATTTTACTTCTGAACCACCCACACACTTCTTATCACTAGACACAAAACAAGAAAGAAAAAACACCTCTACTACTAGACAACTCTACATTCGTCACCTGTTTTGCCACCAATTCAAGTGTGAACCAATTGTGACATTTAAACAATAGTGCTTAAAAAAAGACATATATGATATTATGCATAACTGTTGAATGCCAATGAGCAAGAAATCTTATGCGATGAGTAATTGCTTGCCAATTTCAAGATAGATAACAAAAAAATGACTTCAGGTACAGAACCACTGAAAACCAGGGAGGAGTACTGGACAGTTGTTTCGCCCTTGTTTGAGACTCATCAACAACAGTACGTGCTCATAGCACCAACCGGGGGGGATCTGGCCTACGACCTTCAGGTTACAAGGTGGGCTTGCATACAGCCCACTGGGACGCAATCCAATAGCCCATCAGTTCCAACTTCTGCCGATCTGCGATATATAGCGCGACGGTCAGCGCATCAATCAAATATCTGCAAACCAAGATTTGAAAATTGATCTGCTACTCACCAGTAGCAAACGTAACCACAGGATGAAGTTGCCTGAAATTCTAGCAGAGACCGGTGACCAGCGAGGCTCACGAAGTTGGATATGAAAATGAATACTTGCTGACAACGTTGACTCGCGGTAGCGCTACATATACGTATATATATATATATATATATATATATATATATATATACCTATTACTGTAAAGTCTCATACATAAATGAAACAGCTGTCCATTACTTTCTGGGTTAAAACAGTTCCTAAAGTTCAAGTGTTGGTTTGTAGGGATTTCGTTGATTGGTTACAGGATTTCATCATGAGCTGACATTAGTTAGAGAACCATTGGAAAACCAGCTGGGAGTACTGGACACCTGTTTCATCCTACTCTGAGACTCTTCAGCAGTACGCACACACTGGGATTCGAGCCCAGGACCTTCTGGTTACAAGGCGAGCGAGCTCATATACCATTAAGCCACTGGGACCCGATCCAATGACCAATGAATACTAACTTCTACCAATTCACGACATAGCGCGACCCTTAGCCAATGTCTTTGGCAAGTATTTGTCCTCACACCCGACCAGCTGCACCCTACTGGTCACGACTTCTTAAGTGATGTCATTTCATAATCAATCAAACCCTTGCGAAACAAAAACTTGAAAACTTACTACTTTCATTGAATGCTATGCTATAAGTTTTCGCGTCTTAAAATGTGGTGTACGCTACATCCCCTAGCATAACTAATCGTATTTTCCTTAAAAACAAAATGAAATCCTACTTATTTATCTATTCTAAAAATAAAAGACGACGCAAAATGACACAAAGATTAACTAACTTACCTATTTCCCACAAAATAAGTATTCTCATTTAAAACATACGAAAGTGATGTAAAACAAATTTTGGCCAAAGAATATAACTACAATAAAAAACAAATGGGTTTTCATAAAAGAAATCGATAATGATATAACTATACAAGTTATTATTACTTATAACAACTGCAAATAATTTAATTTCTGTCTGTCTGTCTGTTTTCGACATAGAACTTTGCCAGTTCAAGTCGCCACACTCCCTCCATGTAGCACACAAAGCAACAGAAAAAAATAGGAGAAATGCATATTAGAGACAGTAAACACAGGTGTGAGACAAAGGAGTAGTAATAACGAAGAACAAAACAGTTTCACTGGAAATCATAAGTCACAAGGAGTGGATGCATCTGCACCAGCCAGCCATTGAGAACGATCACTTTGAGCTAGCCATGTCACCAATTGTTTCCAACCATTGGTTTTTACCGACCTGAGGACCCCAACCAGTCAGGAAGTCTACACCTTCCTACGTGACTGGCTTAGACTAACTGTTGTAGATTTCGTTGACTGATGAAGCCATGTTTTGGTTTGACCGCCTGTAGGGTTATTTTTGTCCTACAGATGTAGTCCTTCCTCAATACTGACGATACAGAGTCTCGGCTTAGCTATAGTTAAAACAGAATAACTTGACTTTAACTTTATCTGTTTCTAAAACATAAAATAAACCATACAATTACACCAAGAAAAATGTACAAATCCGCTGTCATTACAAAAATAGGACAAAAACGTACCGAACAGTATTGAAGGTACGGACAAAATGAACAGTCAATTAATTACATGTATATACAAGTAAAGTGACAGACAAAAGAGAACATTCAAGGTCATCACGTGGTGAGAGTTACAATAAATTGGCCAATAATCGCGACAAAAAAGGTCACATAATATTGATTGGCTGTTTATCATATAGTCTATCTCTCTGTCGCGATTAACACTCCCCGCGAACGATCACCACGTTGACCTTTCGTACGCTTCTTATATCTTGTTCCACTTCTTGAGTTGAAGTTTTCAAACACAGTGTCCTGACGTGGCCATCTTGGTCATAGTACATCTGCTTAACTATAGCCTTTCGCCAGAGACCTCTCTGTGTGTCAGCACTGTTAACTAAGACGAGATCATCAGGTTGTAGGTTTTGCTTTTTATCCAACCACTTAGATCTTGTTTGCAGCATCAGAAGATATCCACGTAGCCATTTATGCCAGAGCAAATCAGTCAAATATTTTGGAAGTAGTTGACTATAGTGTTGGAAGAAAGCATATCCATACATAGCATTCGTTTTACCTTTGTAATATTGTAATTTTCTTAAGAATTCACCAATTGCTGAACGAGCCACAGTTAAAAGTCTTTTTGAATCCAAGGAAATACACAAATCAGATGCATCGTCCTCACCGACTACTTTATGTGTACGTCCCATAGAATCGTCAGCTTCAATCAAAACTCGCAGAATCGCATAACAAGCACAATAATGTGCTTGACACCATGATCCAATGTCATCAGCATTTTCTCCTGCAGAATAAAACTCCATGGAAGTTACAACTGAAGGAGACATTGACAACCAATTAATATAGACTACATCTGAGACATTGCCTTGAGCACAGTTGGTATTCAGACCGAACTGCTCCAGAACAAGAGGTAAATCAGATAAATAAATTCCAACGCACTCAGCTCGACACTTATCTATTGCAGATGGAAGGTTTGGAAACTTGCTGTCATACGTTTCTCCTGGTTCACACCAACCTTTTATAGGACCTCCATTTATGACATATTCAGTAGTTTTCGTGTGGAAATTTCGTTTTCCATAACAATCACGCCGAAACAGTTTACCTGAACCATATCCCGTCAGTTCATGAGGTCCAACTTATAATTCAAAGGAACTTTCAGCATGTTCCACGTACATTTGCTTGTCTTCATTACGTAGAAAATCTGGTTTAGGATCCTCGAGACGAACACTAAGTACATTATTCAAAGAAACATTTTTAAATCCCTCAACTTGTCGTACATCACCATAGTTAGGAATATTAGTTCCAAAAGGAATTCCAGAAGTTTCAAACGTAACTACATCCAAACTAGTAAGGTCTGGCTGTAAGAAATTAACCTTTTCAAATGTAGAAGGCCATGGTAAACTTGTTAACAACCTTTCAGCATTATTCAAAAGTCGTTGGAATTTTTTAGACACTGACCTATTTACAACAGTGACAAATGATTCAAACCTTGCACGAACACCAAAGGGATCACGGCATGACTCTATAAAACCAATATAGTTTTCAACAACAGGGTTCTTATCTTTAACCCATAACCTGAAGGCATCTTTGTGAGTGGCTAATGAGCCAATAGTGAAGCTTTCAGCATACTGATGCCACATTTCTGATTCAATTTGGTTAAGCGAATATGCTTTAAAATCTTTACAACAATCGACTAGTAACTTCATCAGCTCAGTATGGTCACCATATTCAAGCTGCAAAGATGTGTCAGAGGGAAGGGCATCTCTTAACTTCTCACGACGTTGACTTAGAGGGATTTGCAGGTCATGGTAACGTTGGGCTAACTGTCTCTGTTTTTCTTGGATAATAGGAGCGTCGAAATGACCTTCTGCAGCAAGCGTGTCAGCCTGGACTTTGAATGTATCTATACGTTCACGATGAGCAGCTACATCAGATTCAAACAAGTTGTGCCGCTTTTGTGCGTACATCACACCGTTTAGATCACGATCGACATTCTCTGAGGCTATCTGAGCTTCAACATCATTCAACCATAACTCGACATCTTCTATGTTGCGAGCGAACTGTTGTTGCCTACTTGCTTGATCTAAATTTTTCTTCTTGTCTCCCATGGCATTTATGAGATGAGACCAAGTTTCATCCAACTGTTCAATCTTTACTTTTATTTCTAGTGAGTTGTAGTGGTTTGCATTTAACAAATCCTGACCTGTCTTTTTAATATCTTCAACGCGGGACTGGTTCGCTTGTATTTCTGCCTCAAAACTCTGATGCTTCTGCACCTTTGTTTGCAAGTTCGTGGACTCTTTGTAACTTTCATCAAGTGCATTTTTAAGTTTTCCTGATATCCATGACTGCATTTCATCTGCATCTCTATCGAACATTTGGTAACGGTAGAAATCTTCAAGACGCTGACGGCGGTTCTGAGCTTTCTCCTTTAATGCATTTCGTCTACTTTGAAGACCTTCCTGAATCTCATGAACCTGTGAAGCCGCATAGTGGTTTGACTCGATTAATTTTGCAGCGAATTCATCAAGTTGTCGCATCTTTTCTTCTTGTGCTAAAAGTGACTTTTCGAAGTCTTCATGTTTCCTTATAAGTGCTTCCACAGAATCGAGTGAGTCTCCCACATCATTTATTTCTAAGAGGGCCTCTTGCTTACCAATCCAAGATTTCGACTGTTCAGCGTCGCGGTAAAAATACTGAAGGCCCATACACTGTTCTAGCTGTTCACGTCTTTCCTCACACAACTGCATCAAGGAGGCTCTCTCTCTTTCAAGGGTGGAAAGTTTAGCAGCTATGTCTCCATTACAGGGATGGCCAACACTTAGTAATGCCTGACCTTCTTGCATGCATGTATCGAAACTTTCAGCTCGAGAATTTATCTCAGCGGTGTATTCCTTATGTCGCTCTACTTGGGCTTCAGCACCAACTACATCCTTTGCCAAATCATCCGTCAACATTAACGTCTTCATGTCATTCATCCAGATACTCAAGTCTCTCCAGTCAACCAAAAAGCGATGCATCTTGAATGACTCTTCCAGTTTGCCTCTCCTATCTACAGCCTGACTTTTCAGCTTATCCCATGCAGTAATTAATTCGTCATACTTGCCTTGTATAGTGTCTTGCGAATCAGGATGCTTCTGTGCAAGCGCCTTAGCATCATCTCCAAGTCGAACAATCTTTTCATCTGGGGCAGTCAAATCCCTTTCTAATGCTTCGTGCTTCCTTTGTAAGGCTTGGACTGAGGCAAGATCACGACCACAGTCCTCAATGGATAAAGGAATAGACTTTTCATTCACCCACGATATAGCTTTATCTGTGTCTCTAAAGAAGCACTGTATCTCATAGGCTTCCAGGAGCTTTTCTTGTCGTTTTCTAACCAGATCCTTCAGACGTTCTAGAGCTTCGCGGACCTCTCTGGACTTTTCTATGACTAGGGCATCCTCAGGAAATTTCTCTTTTAGAAGTTCATCTGCCCTCCGATAGATGTCTTCTGCACGACTTTCTTGATTCTCGAGATCTTTTGTAAACTCAATAAACCCTTTTTGAAGTGTCTCAGCATGTTCCAAGTCTTGACCTAAATCCTCTGATGTTACGTAAGTTTCTCTTTCACGTATCCAGAAAAGTATCTCATCGACTTGGCTTGAAAACTGGACAAATTTAAGCGTTAGGTTAATAAGACGTGATTTTTCTCTGAAAATAGCCATAAGCCTTTCCCACAGGGCATGCAATTCATCAAGACGGTTTTTGATAATATCTGTTGCGAAGTGTCCCTGACCAATCATTTCTTCTCCCGTAGAATCTAGAGCTGAGAGTGTTTCAGCATGAACTGTTACTTCGAACTCAAACTCTTGATGTTTCTGTTTTTTCAGCTGAAGATTACTGAGTTCATTAAAATCCTCATTTGTATATGTTTGCAGTTTTTCATTGATCCAACACTCAAGTTCATCGGCATTCCACTTAAAATATTGATATCCTTTAAGCATGTCCAGAAACTTAGATATGGTTCTGGCGGACTCATCATTAAGAGATACAGCGACTTTATGGGAAGTAGAAGGTTTGTAAGGCGATTTATTGTGACAAGAACATTCGCGACTACCTTGTCGTAATCTTTCTAATTCCATTTCCTTCTCTTTTTGGACTATGCGCAATTTCGCTAGCTCCAATTCTATCATATAGCGTGATTTATCCTCATTGCTTTCAGGGAAATCAGCTTCATTACTCTTTCCTAACTGTGGAGTTAACGACGGCATAGTTTCATAACTTTTGTCTGCCATATTGTTCGAAACTTTCGTCTGGAATACTGTTCGAAACTTTGTAGGATTATTTTTGTCCTA